AGCAGGGGGCCGAGCTCTCGCCAGCTGCTGAGGGCTGAGGGTCCCTGGGGGGGAGAGGAAGTCTTCCTAGCTCCCTCAGAGGGTAAAGCAAGGCCCCTGGGCGTGAGACGCACGGCAGGGTGCATGGCTAGGAGACATTCAAGAGCAGGGCAGGAGGCACAGGGCGAGCCAGTGCTTCAGTGACCACAGCCACGGCCATGCGGCGTGGCAGACGCCCTCCCGAGGCCAGCGGCCTAGAAGGAGGCGTGTGTGGCTTTCACGTGAGCCCTGCGGAGCTCGTGGCTGGACTGGCCCTGAGGAAGGGTCCTGATGCGGCAAGCTGTGGCAGTGGCCTGGGCCCTCTCAATTCCGAGCCCTATTCAAATGCATCCGCCTCTCCCAGGCCCATTGGAGCCCCCATGACACAGCCCTGACCACCCCCACGATATCACCAGCTCCTGCTAAGGTCCTCTGGACACGGGCAACATCAGTCACCCTCCCAGACCTTGGCCCTCATCTAAACCCTGAAGTCTCTCCCCTGTCTTAGCAAAATGAAACTTTTCTCAGCAAATAGAAAAGGCAGGGACGTCCCTGGAGGGCCGGTGGTTAGGACTCCGGGCTTCCACCCACAGGAAACCTGGTCAGGGAACTAGGATCCTGTGTGCCCTGCAGCATAACTAAAAAAAAAAAAAACTCAGAAAAATAGAGATGATGATGCCTCTCCAGTCCTCACAGTCAATGGCGACCACAGTTAAACATTTTGCTTCATTTCCTTATAGTCTTTCCTCTATGCAGAATAAATATACTGTGTGCAAACTGTGTATCGGGCTTGTCCAAGTAATGTTAAAAAATTCAGTGTACAAGAGGGGACAGTAAAAAAATCAGTGTCCTTTTTCTGATCCCGCCCCCACCATCTCCTTTCTCAGAAGCAATCGCTATTTGGTAATATTTTATTTAGGGTGTTATGTTGATATTCACAGGTGAGACTAGCCTATTATTTTCCTAGAGAAACCTTCTTCAGGTTTACAACGGTCTTTCTTTTTTCCTGTGCTCTGAAAGGATGACGTTGCACTGTGGCTCTCTGTTCTTTAAAGGTTGGGCAGAATTCCGTAATTTTGTGAAACTGCCCACACCTGGGGTTTGGGAGCAGAAAAGACGTAGTTCTTTAACAAAATTCTCTATTTCTTCTCCAGTAAATGTTCTATTGAGATCTGATTTCTCATTTGATGGCAGTTTGTCTGCTCATTTTTATTTTCCCAGAAAATCATTTTATCCAGTTTTTCCAATTTTGGCCACAAAGTGCAAAGTATCTTTTGTATTTCTTCCCACTTCCTGTTTATATGTCACTTGCTTTCACATGGCCCGTTTCCACGTTAAACGGTACATCCTAGTGGTGACAAATTATTCCACTAGTTTTGTTGGTTTTTTTTTCAAATATAACAATCATGTCATTTGTCTCCCACCATGATGAATATTCCTTATCTTCTCTTCTGGCTATTATGGCGAATGTTTTTGTACAGAAAGCCTTTTCTGTATTTTTAGAATTATTTCCTTAGGCTGGATTTTCCAAATCAAAGGCATCTTTTTTAAGCCAATTTACTTTCCAGGAGGATTGTTCCAATTCGCACCCCCCCTACCCCAGGAATCTAGGCTTAAAAACCTCCTCCGACTAAAACACTCCAGGGACTTTCCTGGCAGTCCAGCAGTTAGGACCCCTTGCTTCCACTGCAGGGGATGTGGGTTTGATACCTGATCAGGGAACTAAGATCCCACATGCTGTTCGGTGTGGCCAAAATAGAGAAATAAGACGCTCCAACAGGACGCCTCAGCCTGGCTTCTGCCCTCTGGCCCCTTCTTCCCCCCAGAGTGGCTTCTCACTTTCTCTGCTCCAGGTACACTGGCCTTCTTTCTGTTCTTGAATAGAATGAGGTTTTCTGGCCTCGGGACTGTGCCCTGGCTGGTCCCTCCGCCCAGAGCACGCTTCCCACAAAGCTCCCCACCAGGGGTCAGTCTCTCTGGTCCACTGTCACCTTCTCAGAGTGGCCTTCCCTGACCGCTAGACAAGGACACCCACCCACCCCCGGAAGGCACCCGCCATTGTCTCTCCCACCACTGTCTCTGTCTTCCAGGCATTTGAAGCTTCCAGAAATAATTGCACTTGCTAACTGCCTGCGAAACCCCATGGGGGCAGGGACCCTGATGGGCTCCCTGCACCTGGAACAGTGTCTCACGGGCACCAAATAATTTTTCCTTGCACCAGGGCAGCTCCACCACAGCCTCCTGCATTGGCCCTTTCAGAGCTCTAGAGCGCTGGGAGACACCAGGCTCATTAACGCTGAGATTAATGACTTTGAGCAACTGGCCCTGTCTCCCAGCCCACCCTCTGCTCACCAGAGGTGGGTCACCAGACAGGAGGAGCGGCTAGTCTGGTGGGAAGTGAGGGGAAGGCATCCAGGTGGGAACTTGGCAGGGTGTCTGCCAGGCACCTGTATGGATTCTTCCTTGGGGGGCTCAGCCCTGAGTGGGGGGCTTCTGACGGGCAGGTTCATCCACCTCCCACCTCTCCCCCCCTTGAGGCTGGACGCCTCTCCTGACAAGGAACCTTCCCTCCCATCTCCCAGGCACGGTGGGCTCCTCCCAGGTCACACATGAGCAAAGGGAGGCTCCCAGAGAGGCGCGCGGGGACCAACAGCCCTGGGGGGTTGTAAGTCCATCCCCCTGGGAGCAAACTGAGGCTCCAAGATGGTAAGCCGCCTCCTCAGCGTCTGATCCCAAGCAGTGAGCAAGGGGACCCCGGGGCAGGAGTGGGGACCGAGGCTGCAGAAGCCCCTAGACCTGTTTGGAATGCACAGGATCTCCTGCTCGGGGGCTCCTACTCATCCTTCAAAACTTGAATCTGGTCACCGGGTGACCTGTCCCACCCACTCTTCAAGAACCACAGGCCTCCCAGGCGAGGGGACCGGAGTTGGGGGAGGTGAACGGGGGAGGGGGAGATGGGGAGGGGAGTGGGACTGGGCACCCAGGCGCGGAGGTGGGCACGGGCAGTGGTAGCCAGATCAGCCACAGGTCACCCCGAGGTCACGGGGGGGCGGGTGCAGACCTCAGTCTCCGCCCCTCCCCTCCCCGCGGGCTCGGAGGGGAGGGAGGGGGGAGGGAGGAGGGGAAGGGGCGGGGCTCCGCGCGGGGGGCGGGCCGGGGCGGAGCGCGGGGTCCCCCGCTGTGCTCGCCGCGGCTGCTGCGCCCCCCGGACGCGCTCGCCGACCCGGGGGCCGGGGGACCGGGACCCGCGGAGGACGCCGGCCGCGCCGGGCCCGCGGCTGGGTGCGGGGCGCGGGACGCAGTGGGCCGGGGCGCGGGCGCCCAGGGGTCCCGGCGCCGGGACGTCGGGCGCGGGCGGGGCCGGACGCCCCGAGGACCCCCCCACCCCCAGACCCGACCGGACTGAGGTAAGCGGCCATCGCCGGGGCGGCGGGCGGGGCGCTGGCCAGCCGGGACGCAGGGACCTGTCGGAGCCTTTGTCTGAGGCGCGCGCGGCCCGGCTCCGTGCTCCCCCCCCCCCCCACTCCGCGCCAGCTCCGGCCGCCGAGTCTAGGGGCGCGGGCGCGTGACCCCGGGGACCCCGAGACCCTCAGCCTCCCACCCCATCCCGGGATGAGCGGGCTCCCACGCGCACCCTGTCCAGCCTCCGGACCGGGCCAGCCCGCCACCAGCCCCTCTGCGAGCGCAGGACCCAGACCCGGGAAGCGGAGAGTGGCCGGCGGCTCCAGGCCCTGCCGGGCCGGGCGCCACCTCCTCCCCGGGCACACCCCAGCATCCTTCCAGCTGAAGTTCCTCCCTGGAAGTTCCTCCGCCCCACCGCGCCCCTACCCCCTGCCCGCCCCCTCCCAGCTCTTGGGAGAGCGGCTGAAAGAGGTGGGGCCTGCGCCCAGAGGTCACCTCCCAGGGGTCCTACCGTCTGTCCTTCGCCCAGGAGCGCCGGCCTGCGAACCGACTGCGTTGTTGTGGGGCTGGTCTCGCCGAGGGAGCCGGGGGTGGGGGCACTGCAGCACCAAGGCCAGGAGCCAGGGGCGGGGCCAGGCACCCCGGGCCAGCGGGCGCCTGTGGCGCCTGGGCCGGTGCGTTCCCGCCTGCCTCCTACCCGCGCTCCAGGCGGGGGGTGGCCCGAGGGTCTCAAAACCCACTTTCCTGTTGGGCAGAACCAGCAGGGAGGACTTTCGGCCAGTCGGGGAGGCCTGGCTGGGGAAAGAGCAGTAGGGAACTTAGAAGCTGGCTCCGAAAGGGGGTCCGGGGCAGGGCCATCCAAGGGCGTCCAGCCAGCCAGGGCCAGGGGCTCACAGGGGCCTGAGGCCCCAGGGGGACTAGCCGGCTGGCTTTCCAAGCGGATCCCAGGCTCCCTGTGCCCTCCGGCTAGAGCGCAGCCCCTGAGACGGGTCGGCCTGGCCGTGGGGTTCACACACCCGGAGCCTTCACAGTGCCCTGGGGGCGCAGTTAGAACTCAGTTGCCTCTGAAATGGGGGGGGGTGGCCAAAGGCGGTCGGCCTGGCAGGGCTCCAGCACACGCTTTGTGGCCCCTGGACCCGGCTCTCTGTGCCTCCGTCTCTTTCTGCGAAGTGGGGGCCTTCAGGACTGCTGGGGTAGGGAGAAGACCCCTGTGCCCTGTCCATAAAGTTTAATTAAAGCGGGACCCCGAGGAGGAGGGGCTGGGGGAAGAGCTAGGCTCCGGGCTGCCTGTGTGGAGTGGAGCTGGGCGTGGGGGGCTCTGGAGGGTTGGCTTGGAGGCCTGCAGCCCAGGAGACAGGGGGCGGCCCCCTCCAGCCAGCCCCCCTTGCCCTGCCAACATGGGAGGTCACACTGGGGATCCTGGGGCCACTGAGCACCTCCCAGGAGGGGGCCTGGAGGAGCATGTGGGCACAGCGGCCCAGGCAGTGTGAGTGGCAGCTGCCTGTCTCACCCGCAGAGCGTCTGGGAGCAGCGGGGTGGCCTCCTGGCTCCATGCGGAGCACGTCTGCCTCCTGGGTGGCATGGCCTCTCAGCTAGGCGGAAACCTCAGTGCAGAGGCCGGGCGTGTCCTGGGCACTGCGTCTGTCTTGGGAACACAGGCCAGGGGGTCGGAGGTGGACATCCTCCAGGGTTGGAGGGAGGGGTGCTTGTCGTTACAGACCGCCGCGCTGCAGCCCACCCCTGCCCTGGGCCCGCCTGGGAGGCTGGGTGGCTGGGGAACCCAGGGTGTCCAAGCCTTCTGTGCAGGACCCTGCCCAGGGCCACAGCCATTCACCCCCAGGCTGAGCTCCGTCCTGAGTCCCGTTCAGCCCCCCAGCTCCGGATGTGGCAGGAGGTCCTAGGCTGAGCCTGGAGGAGGGGTCACACTTGGCTTCTTGGACACCCCCACACACACACATTGCTCCTTGGTACCCATCTGCCGGTCAGCCCTCAGCTGGCAGGGACAGAATTTCCCCAGGACCCACCTGGAAGCAAAGAAGGCTCCAGACTCTCAGACCCCAACTAAAACTCTCTATGAGGAGCAAAGAAGTGGGGGAAGCCCAGGGGAGGCTGGGAGCAGGTAGACTGCAGCTGGGCTGCTGGAGGAAAGATGAACTTGGCAGAGGTGGGGGTGGGCGTGGCCATGGGCCAAGCTCAGGAGAATCAGAGCGGCTCCGGGCACGGGGGTCCCTCGGGAAGCGCTCCCTCTCCCCGCTTCTTCCGTGGGTTCCCCGACTCGTGCTCCGGGGGGAGGGGGAATCAGGAAGTAGGGGTGCCACACTCAGTGCCCGATGCTGCCACGTCTCATCTTTGTCTCCGTTCCTTACAATGGGTGTGTATCCTCTTGGCAGTCAGATAAATGATTAAAGGTTGTTACAAAAACAAACTGGTCAGTATTTTAGGGAAAAAAGCTAGACACCCAACTTCTCCAGTGGTGCTGGAGAAGACTCTTGAGAGTCCCTTGGACAGCGAGGAGCTCAAATCAGTCCATCCTAAAGGAAATGTCTTGAATATTCTTTGGAAGGACTGATGCTGAAGCTGAAACTCCAATACTTTGGCCACCTGATGGGAACAGCCAACTCACTGGAAAAGACCCTGATGCTGGGAAAGATTGAGGGCAGGAGAAAAAGGGGGTGACAGAGGATGAGGTGGTTGGCTGGCATCACCGATGCAATGGACATGAGTTTGAACAAACTCCGGGAGATGGTGAAGGACAAGGGAGCCTGGCGTGCTGCAGCCCATGGGGTCGCAAAGAGTCGGACACGACTGAGGGGCTGAACAACCAGTAAGGATCAGTTAGCTCCTTTCCTCCAAAGATACAGATTGGAACTGAGGCGAGAGCAGGAGAGGAAGGACTTCCCGCCACCTCATGTCGCTGGCCCCAGTACGTGGGCCGTGGTGGCTCGGGGACCCACAGGCCTGGGTCCAGGTTTAGGCCCCACTGCTCACTGCCTGTGAGACGGGGGTGGCGGGGCAGAGGAGCTGTTCACCCAGTCACGTTCATTTTCATCAGCCATCAAATGAGTGGATGTTGGAACCTCCTCCCAGAGGGCAGTGGTTCATGGGACACTCGAGTGCTGCACTGGTACACAGAGTGCCCAATCCATCCCTCCCCCACCAGCGCATCTGTTTCCCCCTCAACTGTACCCGCCGCCGCCGCCTTCATGCAGTCCTCCAGTCTTGCTCCCTGCTGCAGCCAGGGAGCATCTTAAGACACAAGTCACGTGACATCACGTGTCCGCTTAGGTTTGCATCCAGCACAGTGTTTCAAGATGGGCGGGATGAGGACTCTGCAGTTTCACTGCCGAGGGCCCAGGTTCAATCCCTGGGCAGGGAGCTAAGACCACATAAGCCGTGTGGCATGGCAAAAAAAGGAAAAAGAAAAAAAAAAGGATGGGATGAATAGAGAGGACGGAAGGCCCTGTGGGGTGCAGGCCTGGCAGCAGGGCAGTAGGGGGGTCCTCTCCTGGGCCCCCCACCCGGCCTCCTTTGCTTTCTCTGCAGCGCAGCCGCCATGGGCTCAGTGGGCAGCCAGCGCCCCCGGGAGGCCAGCGTGGCGAGCACGCCGCACGGGAGCGTGGTGATGAGCTTCAGCTTTGACGGCGGCCACCTGGAGGAGGCGGTGGCCGGGGCCACGCAGGCCCAGGGCAGTAGGACCAGGGGCATCCCGATTTTCACGGACTCTGGTGAGTGAGGGGCAGCGGAGGGTCGGCCTTGGGAGTCCTCCCGAGCCTTCCTGGGATGGGGAACCTCGGTGGGGGGATCACTGAGCCCGGGAGCCAGCACTGGTCAGGACGGATTAGACCTGCTGCGGTGACGGAGGAGCCCACGGCCCCAGTGCCTGCCCCGATGCCGTGTGTCCAGGTGTGTTCAGGAAAGCCTCCCTCTTAACGTGGACTTAAGTTAAGGTGCACTGACGCATGTGCAGACTTCCGCAGGCGACGTATGTTATGTTGGCCACATTCATTGGCCAGAGCCAGCCTTGCTTCACTTCAGTGAAGTACCTGGAAAGAGGACTGATGTGCGATTCAAGGACCCTGTTTACTACCTGACCGTGTGTCCTAGAGAAAGGACCTCACCTCTCTGAGCCTCAGGTTCCCTCGGTGAAGGAAATAGGGCAGGCTTGCAGAGTGGGCAGCGTGCAGGTCTGGAGTCAGGCAGATTTGGGTTCCAAAGAGCTCCCATCTCTGTCTGCTCAGGGATCTTGGGCAAGTCAGGGAAACACACTAACCCTTTCCCCAGGGGGTGCAAAGTCCTTGTGCGTTGATGTTCACACCTCTTCTTAACTCCCTGAAACTTAAATACTGAGATGCAGAGTTAACTGTTACGAACACACCTTATGTTAGATGATACAGGGGTGAGAAAGTGAATAAAATAAGAGCATTTGATTACTGTAGCCCGCCAGGCTTCTCTGTCCATGGAGTTCCCCAGGCAAGAATACTGGAGTGGGTTGCCATTCTCTTCTCCAGGGGATCTTCCCGACCCAGGGATCGAACCCAGGTCTCCCGCATTGCAGGCAGACTCTTTACCGTCTGTGCCACCAGGGAAGCCCTAACACATATACACACACGTGTTCATATCAAAATAAGAGATGCTCGAACAGTCAGTCCTGTCTGGCTAGTCACATGGCTCTAGCTGGTATTTATAACTACTTTCTCCCACCCCCCACCCCGTATTCCCTGTGCCCTCCACCAGCACCTTAGCTGGTCAGGGCTCTTGTCCTGAAGGCTCTGGAGCACCAGGAGTCCTGCTAGACTTGGGTTGGTGTCGTTTGCCATGGACTGTATCACAGGGGGCGGATGTCCTGAGAGAGGCCATAAGGAATCTCCCATCTTCCAGACCCACACGTGGGAGCACCCGGATGTCCCCATGATGGTCAGGATCAGCACCCCCCGCCCCCCGCAGTTGGCACAGCAACCCCGTCCTCTGCACGATCACTGTGTCTCGGGGTGGAACCATCCCGCCCTTTGGAACGCGGCCCCCTGCACCAGCGGAGCCTGGAGACATGGGGTGGGAAGCGAACATCTTGCCGTTGTTCATTCAGTTGTGTCCGACTCTGCCACCCCATGGACTTCAGCACACCAGGTTTCCCTGTCTTTTACCATCTCTCAGAGTCTGCTCAAACTCATGTCCGTCTAGTCAATGATGCCATCCAACCATCTCATCCTCTGTCGCCACCTTCTCTTCCTTCCCTCAGTCTTTCCCAGCATCAGGGTCTTTTGCAGTGAGTCGGCTCTGGATCAGTCAGTCTGCATCAGGTGGTTGAAGGATTGGAGCTTCAGCTTCAGCATCAGTCCTTCCAATTAATATTCAGGACTGATTTCCTTTAGGATTGGCTGGTTTGATCTCCTTGCTGTCCAAGCAACTCTCAAAACTCTTCCCAGCACCACAGTTTGAAAGCATCAGTATCCCTAGCTAGGGGACCTCTACAGGTCATAGTGACTTGGTCCACTCTCACTTCCGCCGTGGTTCCTGGGTATGAGAACGCTAACTCTAGGAGAACCAGCCCCATATATCGGACATGGACTTGGAGCATAGACAGCCTCCCAGAGAACACTGTCTCAGCCCCACTAGTTCTTGCCACCCAACTGGCCCTGAACTGAGTCTGCAAAAAGCCATTTCAGTGTTCTGTCCAGCCAGGCGCTCCAGTGGCCATGACGATGAGAGTCACAGCGGCGGTGAGGGTCACGGAGGTGGTGGTCTCTTGGTGATGGATGGCGGCTGTGGCGAGGGTTGCTCTGGTCCTGGCATGGGTGGTTGTCGATCTAGTAGCCGCGATGGTGATGACTCGGGCGGCAGTGGCCTTGAGGGTAGACAGTGGCCCGGTGACCCTGGTCCTAGTGGCTGTGATGGTGACGCCAGTAGCCGTGATGCATGGTTGGCTTTGCCACCCTCGGCTGTGGGATGGATGGCAGCCGGGGTGATGACAGCCGTGGTGACGGCGGCCAGGGTGAGGACGGACCACGGTACAGTGATGATTGTCGTGATGGTGGTATGATGGTGACAGCGGCTGTGGTGTTTTGTAACTTTTGATGCTGGCCATGATGGCAGTGGTGTGGGCAGCTGTGGCCAGAGGGATGGAGAGTGCCCACAGTCATGATGGCTTCAGTGGCTGAGTATTAGGAGTGGCCATGCTGATGGTGGTCACGATGGGGGGTTGTGGTCCACTGTGCCCGTGGCAGTGGCCTGCAGCCTCAGTGTGGTGGCCGCGGCCACGCGTGGGCCTGTCCACATCTCACCCGGAGTCTGGGTTTGTCGGCAGAGGAGCCGGTGCCTGATGACCGCTACCATGCCATCTACTTTGCGATGCTGCTGGCTGGCGTGGGCTTCCTGCTACCCTACAACAGCTTCATCACCGACGTGGACTACCTGCACCACAAGTACCCAGGTGGGCCCCCAGCCGCGTCCTGCCATCACACGCTGCCCTGCTCACGCGGCTTGGGCCTGCTGCCCTCCAGAAACCCTTCGGGCAGCACCCCACTCCAGGGGCCCATTTTCTTCAAACCCTAGCTCAGCTGTGAGTTGCTGCATGACCCCAGGGCAGCCCCTCATCCCCTCTGGGCTGTTAGCCCCTTTGAGGCAGAGGGAGGAAGCAATGCTCTGTGGGGGCAGGTGCAGAGCCTGGGGCTCCCCTGAGCCCCAGCTGCCCCCCCAGCGTCCCCCTCCCGCCCGCAGGAACCTCCATTGTGTTTGACATGAGCCTCACCTACATCCTCGTGGCGCTGGTGGCCGTGCTCCTGAACAACGCGCTGGTGGAGAGACTGAGCCTGCACACGAGGATCACCGCGGGTACGCTGCCCACTGCCCGCCCGGCCCCCAGCCGTCCCCCCTGGCCACCACACACGCCTCCATCCCCTGCAGTTCCCTCTCCTTGTCTGTAAGATGGGCGCACCTCCTAGGAATGTCACAAGTTCCACTATGAAAACCGGGTCGGGCTCGTGGGGTGCAGCACACGCTGGCATGGTGCCCACACCTGGGGAGGCTGCTGTGTGCCCCACATGTGTCCGGGGCCCCTGCTCTCTCCTGCTTTTCCTCTCCCATTTGTCTCCATGGTAACATTCAGCTTCAAAGTCCAGCTCAAAAGGCGCCTCCTCCAGGAAGTCTTCCAGGTGCCCCGCTGAAACCTCTAAGATGTCCTGCGCTCCCAGTCCTAAGGGGAACGGCAGAGAGAGAGCACCTCAGACCTGGCCCTGTGTGGGGAGAGGGGGCTCCCCCAGCCCACCGCTCACTGCTCCCCTCTCTGGCCTCTCCCCACACAGGTTACCTCTTAGCGCTGGGCCCCCTCCTCTTTATCAGCATCTGCGACGTTTGGCTGCAGCTCTTCTCCAGGGACCAGGCTTACGCCATCAACCTGGCTGCCGTGGGCACCGTGGCCTTCGGCTGCACAGGTAGGTCCCAGGGCGGGCGTGGGCTGAGTGTGTGCCGGGGGCGTGTTATACAGGGTGAGCCAGGCTCAGGGCTGGTGTGTGTCCACATGCACACGGGCATATCCACTTTCACACATCACACACTGCACACCCACAGGGCTGCGTGCACTGGGCATGCAGTGTCGGAGCGCACCCCCCCCACACACATGTCCACACGCCCAGGAGTCTCATGCGGACATTAAGGCACCGCCCTGGTTTTCTCGGGCATAAACTGTTTTTCCCAAACTCTCAGGCACATATTTCCATGTCAGTGTTTCTCTCGGGCAGTAGCTTTCCAATTTTTTTTAAAAAAGCTTTTTATTTTGAAACTATTTCACACCTGTGAAAAGTTTCAAGAATAATATGAGTTCGCATATACCTGTCACCTTCGTATTGTTGTTCGGTCGCTGAGTCACATCCAACTCTTTGATCCCATGGACGGCAGCAGGCCAGGCCTCCCTGCCCTTCACTATTGCCTTGATTCCCCAATTGTTAACATTTTGCTGCAAATGCTTTCTTTCCTTCTCTGGCTTTCTCTGTCTTTCCCCACTTCTAAAGTAGATGTGTATATAAATTTCCCCATACATATATATAAATAATGAACATATAAATATAAATAATACATATATATAAAATAATGAACGTTTTCTCTTTAAACCATTCAGGAGTTACTTCAGACATCATCACTTTTTGCCTTAACACTAACAGTTCAGGGCGTTTCACTACAGTAACAGTTAAACCCAAGACATTTCTCCTAGAACTGTGTCTCAGTTCAGTTCAGTCGCTCAGTCGTGTCCGACTCTTTGCGACCCCATGAATCGCAGCACACCAGGCCTCCCTGTCCATCACAAACTCCAGGAGTTTACTCAAACACATGACCATTGACTCAGTGATGCCATCCAGCCATCTCATCCTCTGTCGTCCCCTTCTCCTCCTGCCCCCAATCCCTCCCAGCATCAGGGTCTTTTCCAATGAGTCAACTCTTCACATGAGGTGGCTAAAGTATTGGAGTTTCAGCTTCAGCATCCGTCCTTCCAATGAACACCCAGGACTGATCTCCTTTAGGATGGACTGGTCGGATCTCCTTGCAATCCAAGGGACTCTCAAGAGTCTTCTCCAACACCACAGTTCAAAAGCATTAATTCTTCGGTGCTTAGCCTTCTTCACAGTCTAACTCTTACATCCATACATGACCACTGGAAAAACCATAGCCTTGACTAGATGGACCTTTGTTGGCAAAGTAATGTCTCTGCTTTTTAATATGCTGTCTAGGTTGGTCATAACTTTCCTTCCAAGGAGTAAGTGTCTTTTAGTTTCATGGCTACAATCACCATCTGCAGTGATTTTGGAGTCTAAAAAATAAAGTCTGACACTGTTTCCACTGTTTTCCCATCTATTTGCCATGAAGTGATTGGACTGGATGCCATGATCTTAGTTTTCTGAATGTTGAGCTTTAAGCCAACTTTTTCACTCTCCTCTTTCACTTTCATCAAGAGGCTTTTTAGTTCCTCTTCACTCTCTGCCATAAGGGTGGTGTCATCTGCATATCTGAGGTTATTGATATTTCTCCCGGCAATGGCAATCTCGATTCCAGTTTGTGCTTCCTCCAGCCCAGCGTTTCTCGTGATGTACTCTGCATATAAGTTAAATAAGCAGGGTGACAATATACAGCCTTGACATGCTCCTTTTCCTATTTGGAACCAGTCTGCTGTTCCATGTCCGGTTCTAACTGTTGCTTCCTGACCTGCATACAGGTTTCTCAAGAGACAGGTCAGGTGGTCTGGTATTCCCATCTCTACAATTGCCCAAATCAGGACATTGAACACTGATACACTGTCATCAAATCTATAATCCATGTTCAGATTTCACAGACTGTTCCTATAATGTCCTCTATAATTTTTGTCTTTCTGATGCAGGACCACGTGCTGCATTACTGGTAGTGTCTTAAATCCAAGTGGCATCAGTTTTCCTGTCTTTCATGGCAGCGATGTTTGCAAAGGCCCAGGCCAGTAGTTTTGTTGATCATGAGTTCCATGAAGAAATGCATTTCACATTATGACCCAGCAAATGTGTGTGTGTGTGTTTATAAATGAAATCAAGGCTTTGTGAAATAATATTCTCAATCCTGGCTTTGTACACAGGTCTGTTCTATTTTTTAAAAAATCCTGGTGACAACCATGAGATCCTCAGGTGCCAGTCCTGCTCTAGGGTTTACTTCTAGGCGTGGAGTCATTAGATGATAGGGTGTGAGCCAGCATGGTTTTATTTTGCCTAGATACTGCTGCACTTCTGTCTTTAAATATATATATATTTGGCTGCACCGGCGCTTAGTTGTGGCGGGTGGGATCTACCCCAGGCCCCCTGAATTGGGAGCAAGGAGTCTTGGCCACTGGACCACCAGAGCAGCCCCTACACTTCTGTCTTATTGGTCAGGATGAGAGAGGTTATGCTTGGGGACAAATGAGCCCAGAAGTCTCAGTGGCTTCGCAGAACCAGTCTCACTCCTGCCTCTTGCTGCACGTCCAGCCTGTCCCTGGGGACTTTCCAGACTCACTGGTACTGACGGTGGCTCTCCATTTGTAACCTGTGGCCTTGTCTGTAGCTGCCCCTGCGGGGAAAAAGACCGGAAGACCAAGTGGGCTTTTCCTGCCTGGTCCAGGAGTGATGTGTGTCATTTCTGCTTGGCTGTCAATGACCAGAGGAGGTGGGGGAGCCTGGCCAGTCCAGGTGGGGACACGGAAAGCAGGCAGTGCTGTTTCCCCCACACCCCACACGGTGGCAGGACCAGGTCCGGCTGCCCCCGGTGGTGTTCGTGTCCTTTCCCCACAGTGTTCTTGAACTTATGAGCAGGTGGCAGGTGGTGTCTCAGTGCTTACTACTCTCTCCCTCTCTCAAGTGCAGCAATCCAGTTTCTACGGGTACACAGGGATGCTGCCCAAGAGGTACACCCAGGGGGTGATGACAGGAGAGAGTGAGTATCTGCAGACCCCAGGAGTGGGCGCTGGGCTCTCTGGGCTCCGAGAGCCTCTCCCTGGGACTGAGGTGGGGCTCAGGAGCCCCGGGCACCTGGGGTGGGGATGCCTGGCGGGAAGCAGGGGCGGGACTCCCAGGAATCTGGTTGTGAAGGGCATGGCCTCTTTGCTGTGCGGTCCTCTGGGATGTGAGGCGCAGGTGCCCCTCTGAGCGTGGGTCTGGAGTGTCTCGGAGCGCCTGTGTGAGGCATGTGCTGTGTGTCTGTGTGTGCGTGTGTGTGCCCGCACACATCCACACACGTGATGTCAAGTGCTGTCCCTCAACACCAGGCTCTCCGCGCGGCCCTAGACCCATGAGCCACCACCACTTGGCATCTGAGACTCACTGTCCCAAGCCCACCATGTCATTTCCCACCGCCTCAGTGAACTGCATCCCCACGCCCAATCTGAAAGTTACTCAACACCCCATCCTCCCACAAGTCGCGAGGGCCTGCCTGCCTGCCCTCCGGCTGACCCCTCCTCTCCAGCCCCCGGTCCAGGCAGCTGACCCCCTCATGCGGTGCCCCCACTCCACACAGCAGCAGCTCCACCCTCCACCCAGCCCCAAACAGCAGGGGCCCCCAGGAAGGTACCTGGCCTGCTGTGACCCCCCCATCCACCTGGCTCGAAGTCCACCACTTCCTTTCAGCTCCTCAGATAGAAATACGCAGAGCTCATGCCAGCCCCCTGCCAGGGATGCTCGTCCCCGCCCTCTTCCCCCGCCCAGGTCTCTGCCTGTACCCCCAAATCCTGGTGTTCTTCTATGAGACCTTGGGGTCTCTCCCCACCAGCCTCATAAGGAAAGGGCCTGTGTGCATCATCCCCACTGTGTCCTCAGGCCGGGACGGTGCTAGGCACAGAGCAAGCACTCCATCTATGCTTCCAGCGGGGCGGGAGGGGGTGTGAGCAGGCGGCGGGCCGGGGAGGGGCGGTCTGCATGGAAGCCTCCTGTGGGCAAGTCTTAGGGCTGCCGGCTAGCTTGTGGGGCGGGGCGGGGCCGGGCTGGGGGCGGGGCGGGGCCGGCGTCACGGCCCCTCCTCCGCAGGCACGGCGGGAGTGATGGTCTCTCTGAGCCGCATCCTCACCAAGCTGCTGCTGCCGGACGAGAGGGCTGGCACGCTCATCTTCTTCCTGGTCTCCGCGGGCCTGGAGCTGCTCTGCTTCCTGCTGCACCTGCTGGTGCGGGGCAGCCGCTTCGTGCTCTACCACACGGCGCGGCCCCGCCACTGCCGCCCGAGCCGCAGGGCCGGCTACCGCGTGCACCACGACGTGGCCGCCGAGGACGTGCACTTTGTAAGTCGAGAAGTCGGGGGCGGGCATCTGGGGGCCCCGGGCACGGCCGCTACCCTGTCCCAGCCACGTTCCCCATCCCGCTGTCATCTCAAGCTCTAGCTCCTTCTGTGGCCCGAGGCGCTTTCTCACGGGCCGTCCTTCCTCACGTGGACCACGGTTCCATCCCTCGGTGGCATGCCTGTCCGGGGCCTGAGTCCCCTCTGGGTATGACAGCCCCCGAGTCCTTAACACCCCCCCCCACGCCCGCTGTGAGGGACCACACCTGCAGCCTGGGCGTCCCCGTGGCTGTGATGGCCCACACCTGCGGCCTGAGGTCCGCGCAGAGCCATCCTGGGGGCTGGGGTGCGCTCTGGTGGTGGCAGGGCCGCGTAGCCCGTGGAGGGCCCAGGGGTGGCAGGTGTGGGGGCTAGGCACAGGGGAGCCGGGGAGCCGGCCACGAGGAGGTCAGGGCAAGGAGAGCCAGAATGTTCCAGCAAGTCGCCCTCGCTGGGGCCTGGACTGGGGACACAATAGTGAGCCAGAGACTGGCCCACGGGAGGCCTGTGACAAGGCCCAGGTCAGAAGCTGGGGCCCCCTTGATGGTCAGGGAACTTCCCCGGATGGCTCTGGGCTGAGACCTGACCTGTGCGGCCGGAAGGGCGTGGGGGGCAGAGGGGAGCACAGGCCCAGAGGCTGGGCGGCAGGGAGGAGCCTGGCGTGTTTGCAGGACAGCAGGAAGCAGTGGGCCCTCCGGACCGGCGCGCAAACCCCGCCCCCTCCATCTTCCCTCCAGGAGCACCAGGGCCCAGCGCTGGCCAACGGCGGGTCCCCAAAGGACAGCCCGGCCCACGAGGTGACGGGCGGGGGCGCCTACACGCGCTTCGACGTGCCTCGGCCAAGGATCAGGCGCAGCTGGCCCTCCTTCCGAGGTGGGCCGGCCGGACCAGGCGTCGGGTCTGCGCGCGGGGCGGGTGCTCCCTCGGGCTGCGGGCAGGGGCCCCTGGGCTGGCCGCCCTCTGACCCCGCCGGCTGCCCACAGCCCTGCTCGTGCACCGCTACGTGGTGGCCCGCGTCATCTGGGCGGACATGCTCTCCATCGCCGTGACCTACTTCATCACGCTGTGCCTGTTCCCGGGTCTCGAGTCCGAGATCCGCCACTGCATCCTGGGCGAGTGGTTGCCCATCCTCCTGATGGCTGTGTTCAACCTCTCCGATTTCGTGGGCAAGGTGGGCCCCGCCCTGGGGGAGGGGAGAATGCCCCCAGTTGAAGATGCTCGTGGCTCCGGGTGGGGAGGCTGGGAACTGAGCCATGGATCAGACCACAGCCAGGGGCAAGAGGAGGGGCATGTGGCACCCGCCCCAGGCTCACTGGTTGGGGGGGGGTCTCTGGCAGCACAGGTGTGGAGACACGCAAGGGGGTTAGGAGCACCCAGAACAGGCTAGCCAGTTGGGCTTTTCTAAAAGAACACAAGACTCAGACGGGGAGAGTCATCTGTCTGGGGTCACACAGCGGGGAGGCCTGAGAAACTCCGAGCCAGGCTTAGTTAGCGGGTCCAGCTGCCGCCGCTTCCCACAAGTTAACACAGGTGGGCCTGACTCTGGGCCGCGTGTTCTCAGACGGGGTCGCGAGCCCGCCCGGTGAGGGCATTGTGAGGACTGTGGCAGGACACGTGTCACGTTTAGCTGAGTGCTGAGCACACCGCACGGCCTGTGTGTCGCCATAATGAGGGGTTTGGTCGGTTTTCGGGGACAAAAACTGGTAAAGACAGGGACACGGCCTGAGCCGGGAGCGTCCAGGGACAGGAGTGGGTCTGGAGAGGCGAGGGCAGAGGCCGGGGCCCACACGTCCGTCTCCCCGCAGATCCTGGCGGCGCTTCCCATGGACTGGCGGGGCACCCACCTGCTGGCCTGCTCCTGCCTCCGCGTGGTCTTCATCCCCCTCTTCATCCTCTGCGTCTACCCCGGGGGCACGCCCGCCCTCCGCCACCCAGCCTGGCCCTGCGTCCTCTCCCTCCTCATGGGCATCAGCAACGGCTACTTCGGCAGTGTGCCCATGATCCTGGCGGCGGGCAAAGTGGGCCCCAAGCAGCGGGAGCTGGCAGGTAAGGCCCCCCTCGGCCCGCTTGCCTTGTGAGACTATCCACCGCCAGGCAGGGAAACCCAGGCCCGTAGAAGTCAAGGCCCCACCGCAAGCAGCTGCGTTTGGGTCCCAAGGGCGGGTCAGCTCGGAGCGTGCGGGCTGGGATGTTCGTCAGTCCCCTTCCTCATTCGTCCCACGACGGCTTGGTGAGCCCCTGCCACGAGCTCCAGGCTCCAGGGACACAGCGACAATAGAAGCGGTCCCTGTGCTGATGGGGTTGACCGTCCAGAGCTGACAGAGGATAGAAAGTCGTGCTGTGCTGGTGGAAGATAAAACAGTGATGGAATGGGGGAGTCAGGGTCGGGCCTCACCGCGCCAGTCTGGCAAGGCATCGCTGGGGAGGCGGCTTGAACAGAGCCGTGGAGGGAGGCGTGAGAGGCCAGCCACGGTGCAGGGGAAGTGGCGGGACTAGCATGTGCAAAGGCCCGGGGGGCAGAAGCGGTGGCGTGGGCCAGGGAGGTGGCCTGAAGAGGTGGGAGGAGCCTGGAAGAAAGGGCTGGTTCCGGGATCTGTTTTGACCATGGGGCCTGCAGGGCCAGCTGACGGATTGGGAGATGGAGCGTGAGAAAGGGCCGGGGGTGGGGGTCAAGAAGGACTCCCAAGTTTGGGCCTGTTGCTCAGGGCAGGAAGGCTGGACGGTTATCAAGTGAGACAGAGAGGGGGCTGAGTGGTCAGGGGACCTGCGGGGAGGCCGATGGACACCCCAGGTCGTCCATGACAAGGTGGAGAGAAAGGAAGGCTGGAGAGAGAAGCAGGCCAGGCCTGGGCCGCCCAGCACGGTCTGTCAGGGAGGAGCAGCCGTGCGGCGGCAGGAGCTGGTGGTGGTCACTGCCTCACCCCCCCAGGAGCAGGGCTTCAGCTCTAGCGCCGGCGGTGGCCCGCCGGGGTCCCCCGCCCGCTCCTGCTGAGGCCTGGTCCTGTCCGCAGGGAACACCATGACCGTGTCCTACATGACGGGGCTGACACTGGGCTCGGCCGTGGCCTACTGCACCTACAGCCTCACGCGGGATGCCCACCGGAGCTGCCTGCGCCCCTCCGCCGCCAACGCCTCCTTCCCTGCCAGCCTTTGAGCCCCACCCAGGGAGGGCCGCCGGGCCCCCTGCCCACTCCTGCCTGCAGTGCCTGGGGGCACGCGGCTGTGGTCCCCGCGCCGTTTCCCGCCTGCCCCCGCCCCCCGCCCGTGTCTGGCAGGCCGCTCTGTGGGGTCACTCACAGCCATCCCCCCGCCTCGGGAGAGCAGACCACCAGCCCGCGAGCCCTGCTGGGTCCGCTCTGAGGGCCCCACGGCCCTGTCCCCACTGTCGGTGGCACCTCCTCCACTGGGGACCCCGCTCCCACAGGCCTGCCCCCACACCCTGTCCTCAAACCCTGGGTCCCCAGCAAATGCCTTTGCTACAAGGGAGCTGCAGCCTGGGTGTGCCCACGCCGCGCCAGCACCTCCATGCACCCTGGTACCCACCTGACGCCACAGGCCTGGGGGTCTGTCTGCCCAGGGAGCCTGATCAACCTCCCCGTTTCCTCCAGCCACCTGTGATACCAGAGGGCACAGTTTGAAGGCCACGAGCAGGGCCCACAGCCTGGCTGGAGTCACACCCCCGACCTAGGCCTTGAGCCCTGTCCAGGGAGGGACAGACGTGCCCAGGGGTCCCTGGCAAGTAGAAGAGGGTGGGGGGCAGTCCCTCCAGAGCTCCAGGCTGGCTCAGCACCCCGAGCTGGGGGGATTCCTGGAGCATCCTGCCAGCGGCCTTCTCCAGGGGCAGGACAGGCGCCCTCCCACCCCCTCTGGTCCCGTCCACGTGTCTGTCCACTGACTGTACCGCACTGGCCATTAAAGATGAAGGCAGAGCCTCTGCCCCACCTCCGCCTCCAAGTCACGTCTGTGCCGCACCGTCTCTGCCCGCCGGGGTGGGAGGAGGGGTCCTGGTGGGGCAAGACCCGCGGCCGGCTGGGACCGGTCTTCCCCCCACGCACGTGCGGGCCCAGGAGGATCCGTGTGGAGGGGCGCGGACAGGATGCGCGTGGGCTTCCAAGGGCGGCTCGGTGCCCTTTGGCCTCAGGGAGCCCGATGGGGCAGCTCGCGCCCACTGGAAAGGGGGAGGGGAAGGGGCGGCAGCTCGGCCCTGTCGTCCAGGGTCAGAGCGGGGAAGCCGGGCGGGGGGCGTTCTGGGGTCAGGTCTCGGCTCTGTCGCTGACGGACTGTGATTAGAACAGATTCCTCCGCCGTGCTGTGTCTCAGTCTCCCCGAGAACCGGGTCGGTCTGGTCTGATGTGGGCGCGTGGGGGGAGGGTTGGGGAGGCGGGGACGGGGCCGAGCCCGCGCGGGGCGATGCCACAGGGGCCGCTCATCCGGGCTCGGGGGAGGGGGGAGCGCGCACCAGCCCGTGACTCGGTTCCTTTAAAACCCGAGGACGGTCCCAGAAGGAGGACCACGTCTCCGGCTCTGCAGACGCTGAGCTCACTGCCTTCGCCATCCGCACACCGTGCCCTCCATACACCGCCCTCAGAGACCAAAGCCATCCTTGTCCCATGCACGCCCGGTGCGCTGGGGCGCTGGGCTGGTGCCGGTGGGGTCCGGCCTGAGCTACGCAGGGCCGGGGGGCGGGGCGGGGCAGCGCCAAGACCCTGGCCCAGCCTCCCCCGGGCCCGAACACGGCAAGGGTGCGGCTTCTCCATCTCGCGCCGGCTCAGGGCCCCGCAGAGCGTCAGCACCCTCGTTAGCTCTTCCAGAGTGGATGCAGCTGGGAGCACTCAGCTCCATAGGTTTTTGTTAGCTTTTTTCTTTGACTGCGCGGGGTCGTTCTTGCGGTTCAGGGTCTCCGTTGCCGCGCGTGTACTTTCTCCAGTTGCAGGGCGCAGGTTTCTTCTTGGAAGCACGGGCTCCTTAGTTGCGAAGCGTGGGCTTAGTTGCCTCGAGGCATGTGGGATCTAGTTCCGCAGCCAGAGATCGTGAACCTGCGTCCCTTGAATTGTAAGGCGGATCCTTAACCACTGGGCCACTGGGGAAGCCCCTAAGGTAATGATCAACATGTATTTTCTTATAGCCCTCTTGTTAATTGCTTGGAGTTGCATTTTATAGCTCTTTTTTTAACTTTTTTTTTTGTTCTCGTGATGTGATGACTTTTTAATGTTTGTATTCCTTTTTCTTTTTGTGTATTACAGATTGTGGATGCTTTTTTTCAGTTTTAACATTTCTATTGACGTATAGTTGACTTGCAGTGTGTTAATTTCTGCGGTACAGCAAAGCAGTTCAGTTAATATCATTTAACATACTCTTTCCATTATAATCATAGAATAGTGACGTTACCTGTGCTATCCAGGACCTTGTTACACTTATCCATTCTCTCTATATAAAAGCTTACATCTGCCAACCCCAACCTGCCACTCCGTCCCTGCCCGCTTGGCAACCATCAGCGTGTTCTCTGTGATTGTTTCATAGTTTCATTTGTGTCATATTTCAGATTCCATATGTAAGTGATATCATATGATACTTGTCTTCCTGAGTTCACATAGTATAATACTCTGGTTACAAATGGCATTATTTCATTCTTTTTTACCCTTGAGCAGCATTCCATGGCATATATGGGCCACATCGTTATTCACTCATCTGTCGATGGACATTTAGGGTCCTTCCATGTCTCGGCTGTTGTGAATGATGCTGCTGTGAACACAGGCGTGCACATCTTTTTGAAGTCTATGGTTTTCTATGTCCTGGAGTGGAATTGTTGCGCGTGTGTGGTGTGCGCCCCCTGGTGGGTGAGGCTGGCCCGAGGTTGCAGCCGGCGTCCTGGAGATCAGGGCCAGGGGCTGGCACCCCGGAGCTGGGCTCTCCGCTGGCCTCGGGTCTACAGGCTGCCTCTAGGTGTGCCCGTGGGTGGGGCTGCATCCCCCACCCAGCTGTTGTTCGGGGGGCGGTGTCCTAGCACTGAGGCCTGCAGGCTGTTGGGTAGGACCAGCTCTTGGAGGGGGTGCCCCAGGGCTGGGCAGCACCAGCATCCACGTGGTTGGAGGGCTCAAGACTGGCTGCTGCCCGCGTCTTTGTCCCCAGGGTGAGCCATAGCTGCCCGCCCCCTGCCTCTCCAGGAGACCTCCCCCAAGACGTGGGAGACCCGGCCAAGCTCCCATCAAGGTATGGTTTTCGCCCCCGGGTCCTGGAGCACAAGAGATTCCGTGTGTGCCCTTTAAGGGTGGTTTTCCCCCCTAGTCCTGTGGAACTCCCAAAATTAAGCCTTGCTGGCCTTAAAAGCCAGATGCTTGGGGGCGTGTCTCCCCCGTGTAGGACCCCGAGCAGGGGGGCCTGGTGTGCGGCTCAGAGGCTCACTCCTGCAGGCGGCATTCTCTGTGATGTCATTCTTCTCCAGAGTATGGTCAACCCCTGGGGGTGTGGAGTAGACTGTATTGCAAGTCCGCCCCTCCCGCCTGTCTCACTGGGGTTCCTTCTTTATGTCTTCAGTTGCAGATCTTTCTGGTAGGTCCTGGTCCTTTTCACTGAGGACTGTTCCGCAGAGCTGTGACTGTGGTGTGCTCACAGGTCCTTACGCTCTGCCATCCTGGCGCACTCCAGCCTGGCCGGGGGAACTCTCTGCACTGACGGACACAGGCCAGCCCCCGCCTGGTAGCCACTGACCGTGTCTGCGGGCCACTAAGGAGTTTCCCGTAGACCAGCTCATTCGTCACCAGTCGCAGGCGGCCGGTGGCTGCTCTGCTCCTCCCGGAAGTGTCAGCCTCCCTCCAGAGCTGCGACCCAACGCCAAGCACACCCCGGCCCCCAAAATGAAGCACACCAGACAACCATACTTTTCCAATTATAGCTTTTTCTTTTTTCTTTTTTTTCTTTTTTCTTTTTATGAAAAAGATCACACAGAATTCGCCAACAAACAAAATTCCAAAAGAAACTTAAAAAAGGAAAATAACAATTCCCCCAAAAAACAAAACCGAAGTCTGGCTTTTCCTTCCCTTAAGATTGTCTGGACGAGGCCTCCCGTCCCCTGGAAGGCGCGGGGGGGCTGCTAAGTGCTTTCGTGGGCTGAGCGGGGCCATCTCCCCGCTCAGCCTCTGCTCTCCCTAGGTCCTTCTCCATCGTGGGGGCAAGTACAGTACACCTGGGCCGGGGGGTGGGCGGGGGGTGTGCTTGGGACAGGAGCGGGGCCCGTGAAGCGGGGTGCTAGACACTCACAATCTAACAGGAAATAAAAAATAATATTCTGCACGTCAGAATGTGTTCGCTTTTTTTTTATAATTTCGTAGCTATTTTTTCACAGTTTTAAAAAGTTTATATTTATATATATTTATATATATTTATCTTTATATATATAATTAAAAAGTTGACTCCATTTAAAGGCGTATGATACAGGGGAGAGTCTCTTGGTACAATAAAACTGTACAGGCTAAGAACGGCCGCCTCCCTGCGGGCATGGGGACGAGATTTCAGCACCATGGGGTTGTCTGTAGTGTGAGGGTCTGGACCGGCGGGTGGGCCCTCCCCGGGGCCTCGGGGCATGTAGCCCCCTCCCCCTGGCGCCTGGCCAATGCTGCTGGGCCACCCCCCTGCCTGGTTCTGCTCCCCGAGTCCAGGCCATCCTGAGAGGGTGGAGGGTGGAGGCTGGACCCTAGGCAGGCGCCCGTGCAGGCCCGGCCGGGTCAGTGAGGCTGGGGTCAGGAGGCCGCCCCGGCCCCATGGCGGGAGGCTCAGGGTGGGCGCTGTGCTGAGGGGGCTGGGCACCAGGAGGACCCACCAGCGGCGGGAACCTCCGAGCAAGCATGAGTGTGGTTGCTCAGACACCCCCTCCCACCAAATCCCCAGCTGGCGTCGGCCTGAGGGTCCCGGGGCCTGGCCTGGCCAAGTGCTTACAAGGTGCTGGGGGGCCCCGAGGGGCCGGCAGAGCCATACCCTGATCGCTCAGTGGGGAGGGGGTCTGGACGTGTGCACATGTGAGCACGCACGTGCATGCATACGGGCACACACATGTACACACTGACGCACTGGGGCGTCCACGGGCACACCTGCATGCACACGACCCGCGCACGTGGCCGCCGAGCCCTGGCAGTGGGGCGGGCGGGCCGCCAGCTCAGC